ATACAATTTTTGATGGCATAGTAATAAATTATTCTAAAAATAATTATAACTAAATATTATAACTACCAATTTTAAGAGTACTCCCATGTGACAATATCTGTGTATCACATTTCAATATTATTTTTGTTATAAAATAATGCATAAAAATATTTTCCAATGTTATTCATATAGGTTGAACACTAAAATAATTGTATTTTTAAATACCTAGGTACATATTATATTTCTAGTATAATATGTTAATCTGAAATGTATTTAGAAATGTGTTACATATTGGGTAAAATTAATTAAATGTAGTATTCTGTTACACAAATAACATTAAAAATTGATAGATGAATAAGTTTTGAGTGTGAGTATCTATTATCTTGTCGAGATGTCATTGAGTAGGTAATGGATGTGTTAAATTTGAATTCAATGATAAATAATTTCATACCGATTCTTAGCTTTTATTTACAACTACTTTATAATTTATTTATATAATGTTATTAGTAATTTGTTTTAATTACATTATATAATATAATAATAATTAATACATAATAATTAATACCTGATTGATAATCGGAGCTCTCAGGTTATTACAATATTACACAGAAATGTCGTCCGATTGTTTCTCTATTTTAGATGTATAAAAACATAATTTTTAAAAATAAATGGAGCTATCTGGTTATTGCACTGACGCCTTAATTGTATTATAATAACCATAACTATGAGAATAAAATAATTGATAATATTTTTTTGAACGGTTTCAAGTTAATTTGTGTATTAATTTATATCTATAAATCATTAAATCAAATCATAATTACCATGTCAACAATATTATAAAATATAATACATGGTATTGCCTATTTATAACACTGTTGACATAATTATTGATTTAATAATGAATATTAGGTACTAGTTTATAAACGTAAGTACAATTTTTGTTATTTTACATACTGAGTGAAGCAGTGGATGTATTACAAAATCTTGTCACTTTATGAGCAGTAGAAATGCTTCAATCTTCGAATAAAATTTATTTTAAAGTTGGTTACTTTAAGACTAAAGGGGTCAAAGTAAAAAAGGTGGGTAAGTGGATGTCGCTCTGCTGTACAGTAGGTTACAAGTGGGTCACTGTATAATGGATGGTATTAAATTTGAATTCAATGATATAATATCATTGTATAAGAAAAACGATTCTGAGGGGTGACGGTATGTCAGTCTATGTATAAGACATATTACCTATATACATATCTATGTTATTAAACAAAAAATTGACCTATAATAGGTACCTATAATAAATTCCAAACTAATCATATCACAATATCCATTAGATACGTATAACGCGTTATACATCAACAAAAACCGTGACCACGAAGTACCCACGAATGATATTATTCAATCACAACAAAATAACTAAAATCGTAATTCTTGGTTTAAATATGAGATTTTGTCTAAATTTGAAATTAAAATGTCTGTAAAAAATAAGTGTGTTTATATATTTTTTAGATTTTTTGGTTACAGTATGAATTATTTAAGAGAATCTTTGTTTTAAATTTTCAACTCTTAGTTATAAAAACTAAACATTTTATAATTTTTTGATTCCAACGATTGATAATTTTCGATATTTTGATAAATTTTGTCAAAATTCCAACTTTAAATGCTTATAAAAAAAAATTGTGCCTATGTATTTTTAATATTTTTCAACTGATATTGTAACAATATATCGGGAGCCTTGTATTAAATTTTTACACTTTTTGGCCCAACAGATAAAACTTAATTGATATTTATAGAAAAAAAAAACTAAAAAAATTGAAAACTGAAAATGTCCGTAAACGGCTCAAAAAGTGTCAAAATATTTTCAAAATTGTATGGTGTATAGGAAATGCTAATATAAACATTTAGTGAAATTTTCATGTATCTACAGTAATTCGTTTTTTAATTACAACAATAAAAGGAAATTGCCACATGAGAAATCGAGTGAATATCCAATGTTGTAAAAATTTGAATTTCAAACGCTCATAAAAATTTAATTTGACTTTCCGGTAGAAATTTTTTTATTGATAAAGGTAGACAATCTTATGAGTAATCTTGTATTAGATTTTCAAATCTTAGATTTAAAAAGAAAAATTTTTACGAATTCTTAACTCAAAATAATTTGCTAATTTTCGTGATTTTTCCATATTTTGTCAATTTTTGAACTTTAAATGCTTATAAAAAAAAATTGTGACTAAGGATTTTTAATATTTTTCATCTGCCTTTGAAACAACATATTAGGGACCCTTCTATTAAATTTTCAAGCTTTCGCAACCAACAAATAAAATTTTATTGAAGTTTTTAGAAAAAAACTAAAAAAAAATGGAAAATGAAAATGTCCCTAAACAGTTCAAAATAAATCAAAATATTTTGAAAATGTTATTGTGTATAGAAAATGCAAATATAAACAACCAGTGAAAATTTCATGTATATACGTTCATTTGTTTTAGAGTTACACCAATAACCAAAATCGATTTTTTGGAAAATCAATTTTGCGTAAAAATTCCCGTTTTTCCTTAATTTTTATGTTGTTTTTCCCGGCGCTTGTGAAAACTACTGGGAAATTTAAATTTCGACCTCCCCAATGCACCAACGATATTCACTTTCCAATCGAACAAGATACTGAAGTCGAAAATCGAAGCATTATTTCGACTACTTATCGTGTACACAGATACAAAAAAATAAAAAAATAAAAAAACACACATCATTGTAAAATCAATACATTCATCGTTTCACTCAGAATCTAAAAAAATGTATAATTAAATTGTTCCCAAACAGTTCAAAACAAATCATAAAATGTTGAAAATGTTATCGTGTATAGAAAATGTAACCGGTGAAAATTTCATTTTTTGGAAAACTTTCATTTTGCGTAAAAATTCCCGTTTTTCCTTAATTTTTATTTTGTTTTTTCCGGTGCTTGTGAAAACTATTGGGAATTTTAAAATTTGATTTGACCTAACAAATGCACTAACTAAGTTCACTTTCCTATCGAACAAGATACTGTTGAAGAAAATAGAAGCAGTTCTACTATACCCCAAACAGTGACGGCAGACACAACAATTTAAAAATTTAAAATCGGAATCTAAAATTGTATATAATAAGTACCTACCTAATTTTTTTTTTGAAAAATTTAAAATAAGTTGGTACCCAATTTGTAAATCTAATTTTTAAACACATTTTGATGAAAAAAACGTATATTTAAATCAAGTAGGTAGTTTATTTTTTAAATATTATTATTTTGAAGCAAATTACTACAAAATACGTAAAATTCACGAAAATGTGCCAATTATTTTTAGTTAGAAATACATAAAAAATTTTCTATTTTAATCAAAGATTTGAAAATGCAATACAAGATTGGTAATCAGTTTGTCTACTTTTATCAAAAAAAATGTCTACAAGAAAATCAAATTACATTTTTTTGAGCGTTTGAAGTTCGTATTTTTAAATTTTACAACGTTGAATTTTCACTCGAAGTCTCGTTTTCTCATGTTGCTATTTTGTTATTTTTTTGTAATTTTAAAACTAACAACTGTAGATAAATGACAATTTCACTGAATGTTTATATTTTCATTTTGTATATACACCATAAAATGTTGAAAATATTTTGACTCTTTTTGAGTTGTTTACATAGTCAGTTTTTCTATGAATATCAATAAAAATGTATGTAAATTTGGGAAATATGTTTTAGTCGGGATTGTTCAAACATAAAGAATAACAACTCTTGCAATTCTCTATGCAACTCTTGAGCCATGAGAAAATCTTCCTTGCCCGCCGCTTGTCATACCCACTTGTATATATATATATGTAAAAAATTAATTGGGCAATACTGTTGTGGTCTATACTCTATACTCAACTATATTGTACGTTTCTAAAATAATATGCGTTCTACGCCCGGTTCAATTTTTATATTTAATATATTATAATTACAATAATATTGAATTTCTGTTTCACTTTCGTATAACCATTGATTTTATAATATACTGATAATATGTGTAACGGCGAACGAACTGGGTGGTCTGATAATATAATTTATAGATATATTTTTAATCGTGGCCCCACTCCACAGACCATTGTCGTTTACACCGCGCGCCTGCCTTATGTTCGAACGCTGTGGATTCTTATTTTAATTAATAGTTATTTACAAATACACCAACGACACCTATCGAGCGCATAGGCGCAAATTGGGGGGGGGGGGTTTGGGGGGGCTTAGCCCCCCCAAACTTAGCCGTAGCCCCCCCAAAAATCTACAAGTTTATAATGCTATAATATTATAAATGTGTACAGTTTTTTTTTTTATGTTTAAATAATTTTTTTTTTTTATTGATCTTTATATATAACTCGGCAGCAAAGGCCATTAGTTCTCTTACATATTTAAATAATATTATATATTATTTATGTTATTTATAAAATAAAAATTATCACCAATCTTGTAGAAATGAATGTATAATATTATTTTTGATGAAATATTTGCAAATCATTTTCATTCCAAAACCAACTATACAAGTTGGTCTGTACAGAACACTATTATTGATGTATGTGCTAAGAAAATGAATGACTTTATTTGCAATGAAATTAAAGAATGTGGTGTATTTAGTGTAATGGTAGATGAAGCAAGGTAAACATTTAACTTAGTGATAGTTTATATACCCTATAAAAAACAATATGTTTATATTATAATACTTTCTAGATCTTTCAATGAAGAGCAGCTTTCTTTTTGCATAAGATATACTAAAAATTTAGATGTTGTTGAACGATTTTTAACTTTTCTAAATGTATCAGAAAAACAAGACGCTGATTCTTTGAGTACCATTATGTTCAATTATTTAGATGCAAGTAACATCGCTCAAATACCAATAGTCGCACAGTCATACGACGGAGCTAGCGTGATGTCTGGCCGATTTAATGGTGTGCAACAAAAAGTAAAGTTGAGACACCCATGTGCCATCTATACTCACTGTATGGCACACAGAGTAAATTTAATTGTAATTGACATGTGCAAGATAGTTAAGGTAAATAAAAATATTTTTCATTATTTTAAACGTATCATAACTTTTATATTATGTACATTTTTAGGAAACCCGATATGTGTTTAATTGTCTTGAATCTATATATATTCATTTTTCTATGCCAACAAACAACTTCAAATTTAAAGAAATTCAAAAACAACTAGGTTTGAAAAAAATATCCATAACAGCAATAAGTGATACACGTTGGAATTGCAGAGTCAAAAATTGTACTTCAGTTAAACATAATTTTAAAGCAATAATTGAAGCTTTAAAAGAAAAAATTGAGAATTCTAATGATCGAGATGTTTCCCAGGCCTTAGGTAAATTTTAAAATATAAATCAAATTTGTTTTTATTTACTCATACTCATACCTATTAAACATTCTATTTTTTTATTATGAACCAAACGTTGAATTGTAATTATACAGTATTACAGTAACAATTAATTGATTAGTAATAATTTTGTAATAGGAATTTTATCTATAATGAATACGGTTTCCTTTATTTTTCACCTCATTGTCTTGGAAGATATATTACAAGTTATCAATATTCTTAGCACTCAGTTACAACAAAAAACAGCTACACTAGGCAAAGCTGGCCTAGTTATTGAAGGTGTAATAAAAACGTTTGAAGAGAAACGTTCAGATAAGTGTTTTTCTGAAGTATGGTCTACTGTTGAAATGTTTGCTGAAACTCATGGCATTGAAACACCTATAAAAGGTTAGTATAAAAATATTTTAATTATTGATACCTATGAAGTATATTATTTAAAATTGCTGTTGATTTCAGATTGTACTGCTAAGAGATTAAAAAGAGAACCAAATCATTTGAAGGATTTCCATTTATCATCAACCACAAGCACTGAACTAACTAATGAAAATGAAAAACACTGGCGAATAATTTATTTCAAATTAATTGATACTATTGTTACAAACATAAAAAAAAGATTTTCCACTGAAAGCCTAAAAATGGCAACAGCAGTTGATAATTTTATGAAGTTAAATTATGATGATAGCACTTTTTTCATTGAAAATTATAAAGTAAGGATAAATTATTAACATGAGATGTATTCAATTTAATATAAAAATAATTTCTTTTCTTATAGGAGTTGTTCAATATTGACCTAAATGCTCTGAAAAGTGAAATGATGGTGGTAAAAAATTGTGTCCTTCGATCAAGCATAGAATCACAGATTGATTTTGATAAAATAAAAGAAATGGTACAATCTGAAATTTATCCAAATTTATACACTTTGTTGAAAGTGGCTCTTTCAATTCCTGTTAGTTCAGCCACGTGTGAGCGTTCTTTCTCCACTATGAGAAGAATTAAAAATTGGCTACGCACATCGATGGACCAGGAGCGATTTTCTAGTTTGGCAATAATAAACATTGAAAGAGAAGTATCAAATCAGCTTAAACCTGAGGATATACTAATTGAGTATGCTAAGACCAATAAAAGGTTACAATTATAATTTGTTGTTTGTTTATATTGAAATTAATTAATAAATGTATTACCTACTATGTTGTTAAAATCATGTTATTATAAGTCACACCCCCACTTGAAAATTGAGGTAGGTCGACCGTAATAATGAAGAAAAAAAATTTAATTGGATTATGAAGTAATATTATAAGGTAAGATAATATGAATGGTGTTGGTGGGGGGTGTGGGGGGCATAGCCCCCCACGGGTCTGCTTGCCCTTAATATATTCAGCCCCCCCAAGTCAAAAGTTGAAATTGCGCCTATGATCGAGCGCCGATAACTCTAAAGTGTTTTCTTCCATTTCGTCCTATAGCACGGCCTATCTGTATATTATAAAATCAATGCTATAACTCTGTGGCTTGGGTCTAAAAGGGCCAATCTCACTTTTTGGCGAAAATGAGTTATATGGCCAATCTCATAAAACTTAATACGCTTTTTCTAGTGGTAAAAGGGCGTATCTCGTTAATCATTAGTGCAAGATATGAGAGGGCCAATGTCATGAAAATTACAAAATCTATGGGGCCAATGTGAACATTGGCCCCATGAAAATGACAACAATGGCCCTATAAAAAAAAAAAATCATGACATTGGCCCTTATAGTGATCACTATAAGGGCCAAAGTCATGATTTTTTTTTTTTTTGTAGGGCCAATGTCAATAGAAAACCTTCTATATTTCACTAAAAAATTCACACCATACTCTAAAATGTAGGGTAAACTATATTTACATCCATCACAAAAACAAAAACATGAACAATAAAAAAAAAAAATTGCTATGAATTTTCAAAAAAAAAAGGAGGCTTTATTCTTGATTACTACAAAGTGACTAAAATTGAGATTGGCCCTTTTCGACCCAAGCCACAGAACTATACTACTATTATAGGTGTATCGATATATTATAATGTAACTATACTACCTACTTTCATACAATCTTAATAATATCTAACAGCTTTATTAGCTTTAAATATTATACAATTTTTGTGTATATGATAACAATATATTAATATTATGTAACCTGAAGAATCTGAAAATTATTTATAAGTTATTCTTTATGAACGGGATTTAATAGACATTTCAACTTTTTATTGATAATTTAAGGTAAACCAAATCTGATCTAATATGTATACACGAATCGGACTAATATTACAATCATTCTTTTTAATTTTTTAAAAATTTTTTGAAAATATTTTGACTCTTTTTGAGTTGCTTACGTAGGTACATTGTCAGTTTTTCTATGAATGTCAATAAAAATGGATTTCTAGGGTCAAAAAACTTGAAAATGTAATACAACCATCATAATATATTGTTATAATGATTCAGTCCATAGTTCCACACCATAGGTACAATAAGAAGAAGAATTTTAGTACTATAACAATAACAAGTACACTAGTACAGTAACAAAAATAATTGGTCCACACTACCGTCTTTTGGAGAAAAAATACACCTATGCGCGTTCGGTTTTCCTACGGACTGACTTGAGTTATATTACCGTAATCATTTTTAAAACATATTTCTTTGCCTCCGGGTAGAAAGGTCTTAAGTCAATTTTTCACAAAAAAATGTTTTCCTCAGATGTAAAGCTTAATTTTTGCCGATTTCTTTGGTACATTTGGCATAAGTCAGTGACGAATATTACTCATATCATTGAAGGAATAAATAGGGCATATCTAAACATAACCTTTTCTACGTTTGGTAGAAAAGGCGTATGATGACTTATGCCTGGACAAAAAGACATAAGTCGTGGACAAAAAGGCATGAGAAAGAAAAAAGACGAATTGCAATGGAAAAAACTACAGTATTAGAATTTTTTTTTTTAATTCTGACTCGAAACAGGATTCAAAATATACTTAATAATAAATTAAAATATGTTTTCAAAATTGAAGGGCTTGGATAAAGCATAGGACTGGATGGAATAAGACAGTTATTTACAGGAACATATTCACGAGGGATAGTATTAAAAAGAAATATTATTTTATAAGAAAAATACGGAAAAAGTACTATATTATGTTTAAATAATTAGTAGCAGGAAAAAAAAACACAGGACTGCATAAATCGGGACTGTTTTTTATTTGGATCGTTATCCATACAGCGTATAGGCTAGCTGATAATATTATTATACTACAGAAATACAGAATAATATAGATACAACGTGCGGGTGGCGGTCACTGTAGTGCATTTAGGGAAGGGTGAAAGGTGCCAAAGCCCCAAATGGCAAAAAATTATAGCTTTTGCTTATGATGTGTTCATGATTTTTTTAATTTTAAATATTTTTCGGTATTGTTGTGTGTTTAAAATACATATACCTACCTACAAATTGTGTATTTTAAAATACATTGTTAATATATAATATTATACATAAGATATGATTACTTTTATCTGTAAGACCTCGAGTTTGGCAACTGGACCTGGTAGGCGTAGCGAGCGACTAGGGAATGTCTACTTGTCATACTTTGTTAGTGTACAGTGTGCACTATATTATTATGTACTGTTCAGTGTTCTTAACTCGTCAAGGATCTTGAAAAAAAAAACAAAATTGGTTAAAGACACCGGTAAACGGTGGCGATCCGCAACGTTATGTGCATGTGTGAAAACATAAAATGGCCAACTCGAAAGGATATAACTTCCAAAATAATGATTTCTGCACATTTTTTTTGCACCATTATTCTTGACTCGTTGTATTGTAAACAAAGGAACAAATTCACTTTAGTTTCCACGAATTTTTTAAAACAAAAATATAAAAAAAAATTCCATCAATGACAAAAACATATTATACCTAAGCTTGAGGACAAATAAAATTAATTATGTATATTGTATATATAGGTTCCATGTCAAAATATCTTTATTCTATACAACCACTTGAGAAGAAATAGGTAATTATTATATTATTAATTATTAAGGCCTGGATTTAGTTGTATCATTTACTAAAAATTAACCATAGAATCTACACATTACAATTTACAAAACGTTGGAACAATCTTTATTGTCGGGTGAACCAAGTCCGAAAAAAAGAAAAAAGTACAATGATTAGGTATGATGAACGACTGTTTAAAATAGTAAGTAAATACAACGAAATTACACCAATGAATTATTTAAGGGGAATTGCCCACAATCTTAAATTTTAACTAATTATATCTTGATCGGATTTTATATTATAAATACAGTCAGTTATATTACAATAAAACATTTATTTTGTACTTGTAATAAATAATAATAATTACAAATTATTTTAAAAATTACATATTATGATTACAATAACATATTTTTATATACTAATGTACTTACTTCGGTAATCACTTTAGACATCAGTTTTTTATCTGCTTTTAATAATTGTAGTTATAAAAAAATTAATATTAATATAAAATATTATAAATATTAAAATATTTTCATGGGAGATATTTCCATTAAAAATATTTTTAACAGGAGATATTTTGTACTGGAGATATCTTAAATCGAAGATATTTTGAACTGGAGATATTTTAAATCGGAGATATTTTTGACTAGAGATATTTTGTAGGAGATATTTTGACCAGAGATATTTTTGAGGAGATATTTTGACCGGTCACCTATATATACAATGATCGAATTGGAAAAATAAAAGAAAGGGGGGCTATCTTTTAAAAATTAGCGTACTATACAATTTTTTTTATTTTTTTTAATTTGAAATCATCCTAACTTACAAAAATTTAATTATAAAAATTATTCATGATTATCTATCTCTTTTAAACTAAAAGCTTGTGTTAGAGATAGAGAGTAATACAGTCTTAAATAATAATTAAAAACATATATATTAAGTATATAACAAATTAAAAACAAACAAAAGGAAACAAGTATATACAAATAGTAATCAAATTAAATACAGCAGTATCCACTGAACGATGAATGTATTAATTTTACAATGATGTGAGTGTTTTATTTTTTTATTTGTGTCAGTGTACACGGTAAGTAGTCGAAAAAATGCTTCGATTTTCAACTTCAGTTTCTTGTTCGATTGGAAAGTGAATATCTTTGGTGCATTGGGGAGGTCAAAATTTAAAATTCAAAGTGATTTTCGAAAGCGCTAAGAAAAACAAAAGAAAAATTAAGGAAAAACGATTATATAATATTATTCGTGGGTACTTGAAACTTCTAAAGTACACTATTATATATCTATGATAGTATCAGGGTTTTTTGTTGAAGTATAACGCGTTATAATTACATAATGGATATTGTGATGTGATTAATTTGGAATTAATTATTTATATAGGTCTATTATAGGTACATTTTTTTTAATACCATAGATAAGTATATAATGTCTTATACCTAGTCGACTGACATATCGTCTTCGCTCAGAATCGTTTTTCTTATACAATGATATGATATCATTGAATTAAAATTTAATACCATCCATTATACAGTGACCCACTTGTAACCTACTGTACAGCAGAGCCCCCTTTTTTTTTTCTTTTAAATCGTTTATTTAAATAAATATTTACAATCTGTACAAATGGAGACATTAAGTAAAATGTTTAGCATAATGGTGAAGGACAGTGAATGGCATGAAGGAGCTTCACATTAGAAGCACCTGAAAAGATATGATACTTATATCAGTAATATAAAAAAAATGTAATATCTTATTATTGCAAATTGGTACGTAACTCTAAAAAAAAAAAATTGCAATATAAATTACAATATTAATTTCACAAATAAAATATTCCGTCCCTCATTCTAATTAAAATAAATTGAAGGGGTGCTTTATAAATAAAAAAAAAATTAAGAAGCTCACTATGCACCGCTTTATCCTCAATTTAAATTTCCCCCTTGAATACTCAAAATAAATATGTTTGTACACCAACATTTAATATACCACAATAAAAATGAAGAGCTGATGTATTTTTTGAAAAAATATATTTTTTTTTTTTTGATGTAACTGAACAACTAGTAACAGTTGATACATGAAATTGTCATAACTCATAACGTTCTTATCACGTGGCCAATTTTTTTTTAATATTTTGATTCTTTTTAAGCCATTTGTAGAAATAAGACATTTTTGATTTCTAATGGTTATTTTAAAATTGATATCGATAGACAATAAATAATTTTTCACTTAGTCAAAAATCGTGAAAATGTTCTGCAGTGATCCTCTTAAATTGTTATTACATTAATTAAAAAAATTTCTTAACTACAATATTTTGTTATTAGCGTCTGAAGTTAGAATTTTGACATAATTGAGAACAGTGGCATGACGAACTAAACATTTTCCAGAGGCCATTTACAATTATCCCAAGTATTTATGCATAATAATGCATTAATGTAATATAACAAGTTATATTTCAGATCGTTATTGACTATCTATTGAGAATATCATACCAATTAAATTTACTAGGGGACCCTCAGGCTACCACATACCACTCTATTTAAGAAAAATACCGTTCGCCACATCACTGATCGTAAAAATTAGCTGATTAATATTAGTTGCTAAAAATTTTAACCAAATAGTCAATTAGTTAAAAAATATTATTCAAGTGAACTTGAACATATTATTATATTTTATTTACACAATGACATTGTAAAATAAAATATTTTCGTAATAGATTAATTCAACTTACATGTATTACTATGAGTAAAATCAATTACTTTAATAGCAATTCAATCATAAAATACACTTATTAATATAGGTTGACAGACAGCTTTCGCAAAGAATTGTTTTTAGTATACAATTGATACAAATAGGTATATGTATAGTACCCACTTGCCAAAATATTCTAAATTTTTTTGGGTTAGTGTTCCATAAAAACAAATATTAATTTTTACTAAAATTATTTTATTAATAAGTAACTTTACTTAGAATATACTCCTTGAGCATTTCACTTAATAATAATAATATTTGTTTTTCACTTCAATATTTTTTCTTAGTATTCATTTTAAAATATTATGTGTATCCAATTGTTAATACCTACATTTAAAACAATAGTTAGTTTTAATTCAGTTAAAATCAGCAAATGCCACACAGCATAAATCCTAAAACATTAGTTATTTCCATTAATTTTTTATTTTGTACTTAAATTGAAAAAAAAGTTATTATGAGTGTTAGATTAGTGTTAAATAATTTTAACAAAGGCTTTTTGATTTTCGGTGTTGGTAGTACAAATTACAACCACGGCAATTATAAGACGTCGGTGGTGTTTTATATTTGGCGATGTTTATTAATTTGTTTTGGTTTGCATAACTTCTACGAGACCAACCTATGGGTAATAACTATATTTAAATGTATTTTAATAGTATATCAATAGTATATTTTAATAGAATAGTTCAATGATTTAATATAAATACCTACCTATATTATATGATGTAGTAAATGTGAAATGTGTTTAAGAAATTATATTTTATAGATCAATAAAAATGATCCGGAAAATTTTGAACTAACGTCTTTGATACTCATCAGCTGTTATGAGTTGGCTTTACTTGGAAGATTCATATGTAATATTTGGCGCATATTTTCTGATAATCCGCTGTCTACGGTATTGACTACACTCGAAACTGTTCACAAGAAATTGATACGCTTGAATGTGGACGGGCTGAAGGAAATAAAAAATATTAATTGGATTTCTATAGTTATAATTATTGTAAATGCCATGGTAATTATTATAACTTCAACAATATGGGTAATATTGCATAAACATGTATTGGAAATATATAATATGGTAATTATTCTTATCCAAAAATTTTTTATTTGTTAATGAATAATCAGGTTTTAAAGAATACTTTAATTATTTATTTGGAATACGTATTCAACTATAAATGAGTATTGCGGTAATAATACATTTATATCAAATATAGTCAGAATACATTTAAAAAAATCTATTCTGAATACATATACGAATTCACAAAAAAGTATTATTAGAATGTATATTTTTCAGTTTTGGAATGATGAATCAATCGTATTTAATTCAAGGAGATAAACCATTTTAATAAATAGTTATAGTGTGTCCGATTTTTAATTGGAAAATTCGTTTTTTTCACAATTTATATAAACTAATTTTAAGTTTCAAAAAAAGAAATATTGGACGATTAAATAAATACAAAATAATTAATATTCAGATTATGTATTCGAATAAAAAAAAGTAAAATGTTTTTTTTCTAAAACGCTGTAAATAGTCTTGTATGATAAAAGATCAATTTATTTCATTGAGGAAACTTTATACTATTTGTTATACGAATAACGTATAATACGTTTTTAAAACACAAACTGTTTACTATATATCACTTATTCTTAGGTCATGATTGTGGTTTTAAATACTTGCCAATGCTTTTGTTTTTGTGAATATATACTGCTAATATCATACATGAAGTGGATGATCTACATAATAAATGAAAAAATTCCGGAAAGAAAATCGTGCTTGAGTACGTACAGAGACATGTATTTGGAAGTTACAGAATGCTTACACCAAGTCAATAGATCAATACATGGTGTGCCGGCCATTGTTAGTTTTATTGTAGGAACTGTCGCTGAAATCATTCTTACCATATACTGCGATTTCGTATTCCCTAGATACTTTATCAATGATCCTTATTTGGTAGTTTCTTTTATGTGGTTGTCAATGCGAACAGTCAATATTCTACTTTTATACAAGATTGGTGATGCCACCGAAAAAGAGGTTTTTATATTTTAATATTATGTATTAATTTAATTTATTGTAAGTTTATGTGGCTCTTTAAAATTATTTTCCATCTACTCTGAATACTTGGTAACTATCGTAAATAAAAACGAATAAATATTAAATTTCTCGTAAAACTTTCGTAATAACATAGACACAGATAGTACATGTACCATAATCAAAAAACTATATAGAACAAGAATTATGGAAAATTTAATTTACTATAAATAAAGTCCTACACATATTTATATATGAGTGAGTTGAAACGAGATATAAATAAAACATTAAAAAAAAAACGTGGTTATTTGAATGAATAAAATAGTGCTTTCGAACTTTAAAGACCCAGGGGCACGGGTTAAACTTAACCTATCGACATGAAATTTTGTACACATAGTTTTTATATATATTGGAACCAAATTAGGGGGTAAGACTGAAAAAAATGTTATAAAATAAAATCACCTATTTGACGAAGGGCCACCCTAATGTACCTATATAATGTAAATTTTTAATTAAAATTATTAGTATTTTCGACTTATTTCAAATTTAATTTTTGTATTATCAGGTAAATCGGATGAGTCTTGTCTTACATCGACGATCCTTAATAGAAAAAAACCCTAGAATTAAACGTCAGGTATATAATATTAAATATTACTATTATAAGTATTAACTACAATATGTTATTCATATTACATGAATGATTGAATAAGAATATTAATTTTTATTTTTATTTAGATCAAGTTTTTTTTACTTCGAAGATTACACGAACACTATCATTTCGAGCTGTATGGAATGTGTCATGTTAATATAAGACAACTGTTTAGTTTAACAAACAAATCAATTGGATATTTAGTAATTCAAATTTTGTTCAAATTATAATATTAATTATAAGTTTATTTTGCCTATATAAATTTTCAGTCATACAAGATAGTAATAGTACATAGTAAGAATAAATTATATTGACTCACTTCTAAAAAGCTAAAAGCTTGTGCTAAGAAGTGAGAGTTTCTTATAACATTATAATATATAAACTAAATGACTTAAGAATGTAATAAAACATGAGAGAATAAAGTAAAGAAAAAAAAACTTATAAATCATAATTAAGTGTAACATAATCAAACTGGTTAAGCTTAATATGCCATTTTAAAGAGCTAAAACATGTTTACAAACACTAGTAAGTAATAGTAAAGGCTATAATATATCCGTAGGTAAGTACTTCGATCATTGCAACAGTGATAGAGTTGTTCTTATTTACTGTACTGTCACTTAAGAATTAACAATTAAATTTAGCCGTTTTAGGTAAAGCGTGTTCTTGAATTGTTGAACCCTTGTGGATATTGTTTGATAATTTCAGTTTGGAATTGTTTTATACTTTATTTACGTTTCATATGGACTGCCGATCAGCGATGTGTAAATATGTATTATTTATATATGTGTGTATGTTACATTACATAGGCATTTTTACAGATGACACACAACTTTTATTTTATGTTTTTACTCAACAAAATAGCGAAAATAATATTTGCAACGAGATGGTAACATGAGTAAATATTAAATTAAGACACATATTTTCGTATTCTTAAATTTAAATATACCTATTAAAAATTATATTTACGATAGTGATTAGGTTATTGTTGGATATATTATAATACATATATTGATAATTTATTAGTTTAAATATTATGTAGCAATAATAATTGGCAGTGGCGTATACTGTGGGGGGAGGCTGAGGGACCGCAGCCCCCCCAAATATTAAGAAAATTAAAAAATTATTTTTATGGTCTATGATAGTCGCTCAATAAGTTCGGTAAAAGTATATCAGCCCACCCGAAAAAAAATTCTGGCTACGCCACTAATAATTAGTGATATTAATTAATGTGCAGTATCATTTAAAGATAGATAACCTATTGAACAACTTATTACTATTCATAATCATTATTATATTTTATATCATCACTCAGTGCTTAGAATAGACTTTATCGGACCTGTGTGTAACTAACTCTTAAAATGGGACATTCATTTTATAAGCAATAGTTAAAGTAATACTACTTTAAATAAAGTACCTACCTACCCAAACACCATTTTTTTTTCACATTTTGCACTTGTCTTTTCACACATTTTAAAAGCAGATTGTATGTCGCTATGTGAGTAAAAATAATATTATAAACTAGTCTAGTCATCGTCGAGATCTTGGAGACTGGAGTCATTGGGATACCCACTGCTATTATTGAATGATGTGGCCGCATTTTCCAATTAGGGAAGAACGGACATTTTTACGTAAAATCAGGTTTTGACAAAAATCAATTTTAGTATTTAGTGTACTCCATAAAAAATGATCGTAGACACATGACATTTTCACTGAATATTTACATAAGCATTTTCTTTACTCCGCAAAATGTGCAGAATATTTTGACTTGTTTTGAGCTGTTAACGGACATTTTCAGTTTCCAAATTTGTATCATTATTATCAATGGTACCTATTGGTTATTGGAACTGAATAGACAAAACTCTGAATCGTGGTGTTTGTAATGTTCGGCAAGCAGCTGACAGTCCGAATTTCTCTGTTATCCAACGTTCAACGTTTGAACGTTCAATTAGTATTTCCTCGATGACCTACGTAGGTATAACTTCTACCGTGCGTACTGACGGACCAATCTATTTTTTGTGTCTGTCTACACCTTTTAGGACGGTAAAAAATCTTAGATATTATTCAACAGTATCTTTCCTGATAGGAAAGTGGAGCTATTTGTTACATGGGGTGGTCAAAAGTAATTATTTCTGAGAAGTTTTCAAAAATTCCATGTAAAAAAAAAAAAATTAAGGAAAACTGGAAATTTTACACAAAATCGGTTTTCGTGATTTTTCCATATTTTGTCAATTTTTGAACTTTAAATGCTTATAAAAAAAAATTGTGACTAAGGATTTTTAATATTTTTCATCTGCCTTTGAAACAATATACTAGGAGCCTTCTTTTAAATTTTCAAGCTTTCGCAACCAACAAATAACATTTTATTGATTTTTTTAGAAAAAAAACTAAAAAAAAAATGGAAAATTAAAATGTCCCTAAACAGTACAAAATAAATCAAAATATTTTGAAAATGTTATCGTGTATATAAAATGCAAATATAAACAACCAGTGAAAATTTCAAGTATATACGTTCAATTCTTTTAGAGTTACCAGCTACACCAAAAACCAAAATCGATTTTTTGGAAAACCGATTTTGCGTAAAAATTCTAGTTTTCCTTAATTTTTATGTTGTTTTCCCCGGCGCTTGTGAAAACTACTGTGAAATTTTTACTTTTGAATCACAACAAAATAACTAGGTTTTTTAATATGTAATTTCGTACAAATTTGAACATAAAATGACTATAAAAATAAACTGTGATTGTATATTTTTTAGATTTTTCGGTAAGAGAATTAACTACTTACGTGGAATCTTGTTTTAAATTTTCAATCCTTAGCTATAAAAACTGACGTTTTATAACTTATTAATTACGATGGTTAATAAATTTCGAGATTTTGAAAAATTCTGTCAATATTCGATGTTTAAATGCTTATAAAAAAAAATTGTGGCTATGTATTTTTAATATTTTTCAACTGATATTGTAACAATATATCAGGATCCTTGTATTACATTTTTACACTTTTTGGCCAACAGATAAAACTTTATTGATATTCATAGAAAAAAAAACTAAAAAAATTGAAAAATGAAAATATCCGTAAACAGCTCAAAAAGAGTCAAAATATTTTCAAAATTGTATGGTGTATAGGAAATGCTAATATAAACATTCAGTGAAATTTTCATGTATCTACAGTAATTCGTTTTTTAATTACAACAAAAAAAGGAAATTGCCACATGAGAAATCGAGTGAATATCCAATGTTGTAAAAATTTGAATTTCAAACGCTCATAAAAATTTAATTTGACTTTCCGGTAGAGATTTTTTTATTGATAAAGGTAGACAATCTTATGAGTAATCTTGTATTAGATTTTCAAATCTTAGATTTAAAAAGAAAAATTTTTACGAATTCTTAACTCAAAATAATTTGCTAATTTTCGTGATTTTTCCATATTTTGTCAATTTTTGAACTTTAAATGCTTATAAAAAAAATTGTGACTAAGGATTTTTAATATTTTTCATCTGCCTTTGAAACAATATATTAGGAGCCTTCTATTAAATTTTCAAGCTTTCGCAACCAACAAATAAAATTTTATTGATATTTCTAGAAAAAAAACTAAAAAAAAACGAAAAATGAAAATGTCCCTAAACCGTTCAAAATAAATCAAAATATTTTGAAAATGTTATCGTGTATAGAAAATGCAAATATAAACAACCACTGAAAATTTCATGTATCTACGGTCATTTGTTTTAAAGTTACACCAAAAACCAAATTCAATTTTCTGAAAAATCGATTTTGCGTAAAAATTCCCGTTATTCCTTAATTTTTTTTTGTTTTTCTTGGCGCTTTTGAAAACTACTAGGAAATCGAAGCATTATTTCGACTACTTATCGTGTACACAGACACAAAAAAAATTAAAAAAAAGGTGGGTAAGTGGATGTCGCTCTGCTGTACTGTAGGTTACAAGTGGGTCACTGTATAATGGATGCTATTAAATTTGAATTCAATGATACAATATCATTGTATAAGAAAAACGATTCTGAGCGAAGACGGTATATCAGTCTAGGTATAAGACATTTTATATACTTTTCTATGGTATTAAATTATATGGAAATTATGAATACATTTCTTAAAATATGCACAGTCTTATCATGAGCATAATTCTTATTCCTTATACTATGGTAGATTGTATGGATATGCCATAATATTTTGATTTTTCAGTTTCATATATCCCCGAATAATATTTTTAAATTACAACAAAAACAAAGATCGTTAATATTGATTTTAATATGTAATTTCGTCCAATTTGAATTTAAAATGTCTGTAAAAAATAACTGTGTTTTTTTTTTTTAGATTTTTTGGTTACAGTATAAACTATTTATGAGAACCTTTGTTTTAAATTTGCAATCTTTAGCTATAAAAACTGAACATTTTATAATTTATTAATTACAATGATTGATAATTTTCGAGATTTTGATAAATTTTGTCAAAATTCGATGTTTAAATGCTTATAAAAAAAAATTGTGGCTATGTATTTTTAATATTTTTCAACTGATATTGTAACAATATATCACTAACCTTGTAATACATTTTTACTCTTTTTGGCCCAACAGATAAAACTTTATTGATATTTATAGAAAAAAAAAAACTAAAAAAATTGAAAACTGAAAATGTCCGTAAACAGCTCAAAAAGAGTCAAAATTGTACAGTGTATAGGAATTGCTAATCTGAACATTCAGTGAAATTTTCATATATCTATAGTTATTCGTTTTTGAATTACAACAAAATAAGAAAATCGTTACATGAGAAATCAAGTGAATATCCAATGTTGTAAAAATTTGAATTTCAAACGCTCATAAAAATTTAATTTGACTGTCCGGTAAAGATTTTTTTATTGATAAAGGTAGACAAACTTATGAGTAATCCTGTATTACATTTTCAAATCTTAGATTTAAAAAAAAAAATTTTTACGAATTCTTAACTCAAAATAATTTGTTAATTTTTGTGATTTTTCCATATTTTGTCAATTTTTGAACTTTTAATGCTTATAAAAAAAAACTGTGACTAACGATTTTTAATATTTTTCATCTGCCTTTGAAACAATATACTAGGAGCCTTATATTAAATTTTCAAGTTTTTTTAACCAACAAATAAAATTTTATTGATATTTCTAGAAAAAAAACTAAAACAAAATGAAAATGTCCCTAAACAGTTCAAAATAAATCAAAATATTTTGAAAATGTTATCGTGTATAGAAA